GACCACTCTTATTTCTGAGAATTGGTACGGGATTTGTCATTCTTTTGTACGCGTGGACTGGCCGTCGAGACAAGCCAGAGCCAAAACTTGGATACGTGTATAGCGGCTACAGTAGCGGCTGTAGCATCCCGAGGCTTCCCACAGGGTGGAAGAAGGTAGTGTAATGCTTTGTTTACGCGACTATCTGACGTTTGACGAGCACTTTAGGACTTGTCTGGGCCCTGTACACGTGGGCTGGCCTTTGGGTTACGCTCAGGCCCATTTCTCCTATTGCTTTCGGAATACATGTATTCAACCCCACTTATGCCTTCTACTACCCCATTGGAAGCCCCGGGACGCTACAGGTAGTAAGTGAGGCTGGATACATGTATTCCGAAGAGGACAGAGCAAATGGGTCAGAGTATGGCCCGAAGGTCAGCCCATGAGTACAATGGCCAGACAAATCTCAAAGTAATAGCCAAACGCCAGGTAGTCACATAAACAAAGCACTACAGCTATGCCGGCTGTTAGAAGGACTATTTGCAAAAAAGAACGTCAAAGACTCGACTCTAATACCAAATCAGTAGAAACGCGATTTGCGGAATTTTCTACACGACGAAGATGTATAATTGTTGCTAACATAGCAAGTCCAATTCGTACCTAATATGAGTTCTTATTTTTAGCCAATTTTTGTCCCCTTTCATCAGAATTCGGTGCATGCAAAGTTACCTTTGGAGTTGTGATTAGGAGCATTTGGTCGAAATCCGTGGAAATAGCCCCTACAAGCACACCACCGTGTAGATAAAGCTCATTGTTGGGTGGAATGTATAGCAGCTCTTCTGGAGATCGTTATCGCGAGTACATCGATGATTCCACCTCCCACAAATTAAAAAGTGCTTACTGGTCCACAAAGCAAGCGGTTATCCGCAAGCTTGGTAAGGAAGAGGACCGACATATTGTGGCTTCAGATGCTGAGTTAGACTCCAAACTTGAGGTACGTGTTGTCTACATTCTATGCCTTTTTCTTAGCTTTTTAAGTCAGTTCAGAGCACTTGTCAGGATCTGAGCAACTGCATTGAGACCTATCTGCGTTGTATCTTCGGTAAACCTTTCGGGTTACGTTGTTATACTTTAAAATTTCAGTCCTCTCTCAGGTTGAAAATGATACCGGTCGTTTTTTGAATGCTCGCAGCTCTGAGGACAAAACGCGAGCGGGGAAAATGCTTTCAGCTGTTGGCAAAGCTCTCACTCACTCAGCTCAGCAGAGGCTTATTCTTCAAAATCCTCTGACCCGCCTCGAACAAGAGGTTCAAACCTTCACAAATCGCGCAATTGGGGATACAGCTAATACAATTGCAAGGATGGAATCGGCTCGGACGGAGTATCGTGGAGCACTGATGTGGATGAAGAATGTCAGTGAGGAGTTGGATCCGGATATGTACAAAAAACTAGACAAATTTCGACGGGTTCAGACGCAGGTCAGGAAGTCAAAAGCAGTTTTTGATCGGCTCAAACTGGCTTGCATGCAGAAGGTGGATTTGCTGGCAGCCAGTCGATGCAACATGCTGAGTCATGTGCTAGCTGCTTACCAGGATACCCTGCTCCAGTTCTGGGAACGAACTGCTCGGTTTGTTATTATCTATCTGGTTATGCCGTTACTTTGAGTATCACTATCATTTCCCCAACCTCTTGCTCGCTATAAGTTTTGATAATGCTTCTAGACTTCACGAGTTAGGTCTGACATGCATTTGTGTGAAAACAGTTTCTTTTATTTGGCCACCATCTCTGGCATTCTTCTAGCTATCTTCAATCTTTAGCACAGGTAACTTATCCATGAGCTTAAAATATCAGTGCATATCATCGTACCATCTCGAATCCTCAACTGTTTGAAATTTGTCATACTTGCTTGTTGTTTAGAACGATTGGTCTGGTTTTATGTTAGTCAAAGCCTAGCTCTTGGAAATGCATGAGTTTTGTGGCGGACTGGAACTTAACGCAGCAGGTTTCATTACTACTGTTATTCGAAGCATTCCAACCGTATCTTTTTCGACGGCCACTGTCTCGTGTTTTGCATCTCCATTTGCGAATTTTCCGTTCGTTGTTACATTCTGCATGACTGCAGTATTACTATTGCACTTTGGATAGTGCTCTGGCGTTAGATATTAGACTACCAATGCCACGATGGCGTCTGCTTTTATGCGTTTGAGGTTTGATGTTTTGCTTTTATTTGGCTCCTATACAGCGCAAATCCGGAAGTGTGAGACGTGACCCCGCTTTTTAACGAGTTCCTCTCTTTCTACTTAGACTTCCTAAAAGCTCTTGTTTCACATAGTTAGTCCGGGGGGTTTAAGTCATCTTCGGTTCTTCAAGCTTGCACCAATGGAACTTTTTTTCGGTAGCGGAGTTTGAGGGGACGGATCTTGCGAACTCTACATTATGGGACTTTACTAGCATTTTCAATGCATGTACCTTAAACTCTCACCCATTTCTTTTTTTGCGAATAGTGATTTTGCTGACTGTCTTTTCTCTTTGATGTGCTACCTGGTTGTTTATTTGCCAATTCTCTATTGCCCTTTTTGATAGAGTACGTTTGTTTTCGCTGCTTCTGTTATTTTGCGTGAAAAAGTGACATACAGTTTGTTAAGGGAGTAACATCCAAGACTGGCATCTTTCATTCGTATCTGGAAGTCTGGAAATGCGAGCTCTTATGTCGCTCCTATCAGAGTTGCATTGTATTGAGTCAATTGCTCCCATCTCTGATTGTTTGCCATTCAAGCACGTATACACAGACTATGCAGTCCTCTAAGGGGTGAAGTGACGCGGGTCCTGAGGATGAGTTTTCAGCGGATGGGATTTTCAAGGCTATCACTTAACGCATCTGTTAATTTACCGTTTGATTAAAGGTTTGCAATCGGCAAAGCATCCGTTCTCTATGTTGCTTTCTAGCACCTTCAAGGTTGGTTTTTAGTCACCATTTTGGCGGCATTTTTAGCGCATGATATATGGGCTTACTTTTGCAACTGTAAGTCCTCAATGAAGAAGTGTGAACATATTTTATGATCGGTCACATTCTTGTTGCGTCATTTCTGTCTTTGTTTAACCTCTACCGACCAAATTTTCACCCTAGAAATTTTTTCAACCTCTCCCTTCTGCAATCCGTTCTGGCTGACAGTTGGATTCTTTGGCTCCCCTAAATTTCATAAACGGAAGGTTCTGAGGCCTTGAGATAGAACCAATGAGCGACGTCAATTCTAGGTCACATCTATTTAACTTCTCCGTTTTTTTTCTTTTTTTTTTTTTTGAAAACCGACTCCTCAACTCGAGATAAGTAAAGCGTGTTTTCAACTTCCTTCGATTGAACACTTGCAGATTCATTTGCCTGTTGAGAAAGTCATCTCCTCATAAATATTTTGTCTTGTAGCACAATGACGACTGTGTCAAATAGCTTCAAGGGCTATCAGTATTACGAATTTGCTCTACTCAAAGACCTGACCCCAGAAAGTCGCAAATTGGCCGAACAAACCTCCCAATACTTTGATGCTGATGAGAAGTTAGTTGATGATGACTGACCTTTTCGTTCCTTTGCGTTTATCCTTGATTTTCATTACCCCTCTTTTGTCAGTCTTCTTGCCCAATTTCTGATTAGTCAGTGTTATATTATCTTTTTAGTCGCCTAGACGAGTGCGCCAATGTCACTGAAGGTTCGCTAATCGAGACAGGCAAAGAGGTGACGGAGGATGAAGGGGAAGATGTTAAGAGAACTGATATTGGAAGGTATTATGCGTAGACTAACGTACTTCAACACTTTTATTATTTATTTATTTGCTTTCTCAACTTACAGCTCACCACTGGAGGCTGCCAGACCACCGGAAAATCTGTTGCCCGAAGAGGAAATTGATAAACAGTTGGACAGTTTATTTTCCACTGGCGATGCGGAGGCTATCGATGGTGCTGGTAGCGACAAGAGCATTAACGACCTCCTCTTTTCCGGTCCGACGTCGGAGGACAAAGAGATGGATGCATTTCAGGCATTTGAAAGAGCTCCCAATGCAGAAGGTGAGTTGATGCGGAATGAAAGACTCGTCGGTAACATTTAATAGCTTTACACCAGAGGTAGGATAGGATTGATACTTTCATAGTAATCAAATGGTTCTTCTTCGGATAGCTAGAAAGTGTCCCATTCGCTTGTGACTTCATCTATTGAAATTGGCTACCCTTCTTGTCTTCTGGGGAATTCGATCAATTTCGGTCCTTTGACTGGAAACTACTAGGTTTTTTTCTGTAAAGGGTTCATTATTTTGGTGTGCCAGATACCTTGCATCCGTCGTAGAAATGTTGGCTCATCTGTTTAAGGTAGTTTTAATTTGCGTCGAGGGAACTTACCACTAAGGCTACTGATCTCTACCTTCTTTCAACAGCTTTCAAACCGTCTGCAGATGCTGAATTTCTCAAGGACATTCTCTCCTCAGGTTCACACACACCAAGCCACTTTGATGAACCGACTTTACCACAACAAGCATCCGCGGCTGGTAGTGGTGGCGGTAAGACCCCTCATTTTTAGCCAAAAGTTTTTTTCTTCCTAGTCACGTTGATGCTTCACTAATTGTTGGAACTGGGACAGATATTATTGTGCATATCTTCGAATTGCTGGGGACTTAAGTCCTCTCTCGAGTAATGGGTTCTACAAATCCTTTTTTTGCTATGAAAATCCGACGCGATATTTCTAACATATCTCGAATGTCTGCCACATCTTCCTCTCACCTATGACTGTTTTAGATTCCTTTTTCCGAGTAAATTGGGACAGCCAACTTTCTGATGTCCTTTCCTCTGCCAACACTGGGAATTCGTCAGAAATGGTAAGTGCTTAAGAGTTTTGTGGACTGCCAGGAGTGGCTACAAGTGGATTATTTGCATTTTTGGGGAGGACTTCGTTTATCTGCATCATGCTGACACTTGTGTATTTGTCATCTTGATATACGTTCCTGGACGTGAGAGATAACGTTTCCTTCCTCTTTACCTCATCCCAGTAGCTAAAACCCGAATAAACACTTGGAACTGATCAATCAGTCCTCCTCGCTTTTTCCACTACCTTAGTTCTTTCTAACAAAGGTGTTTAGGCGTTTTATTTGTTGAGTAATCCTTTAAGAGGCGGCTGTTTTTTCCGTGAGCCTTTTCCACCTTTTAGCTGCATGATATGGGAGGGTTGCAAGCATCTTCAAAGCAGTTACATCAGCCCTCAGCATCAGCGAAGCCAACAAAAACCCCTAAGAAACCCAAATCAGTAAGTCACGAATGCGTCTGCCTTTTCCACCGCTTCACCATTAATGTCTCTCGTCTTTTGGCCAATCAGGGGTTGACTCCTTGAGGACTGACTCCTGATTGGCTTGACCCAATGCCATTTAAGCTGTAGGCTGTACGGTTGCTGATGTCGCCAGTATGTCCTTTTTGAATGAAATAAAATGCTGCCAACCTCGCCTTCTGTTAGTAACGCCTCTCTTCTATGACCCTTTTTAAACCGACACACCCATTGTTTTGCCACCAATGTGGCGTCAGAGTCGTCCCTAAAGGTGGTTAAAAGTGAATTATGGGCAGTGAATCCAATCCTGACTCTATCAACTGCTACTTGGATTCATTTTCACCACTTCACATCGCTGTCTTTTCCTTGCAGGGTGACGTCGAAGAGTGGATGAAGTTCTTTGCCGACCTTTCACCCCTGGGCAACCCAGATCAACAGAGCACCAAAAAGGGTCACGTGTTAGATGCCTAGATCGTGGTCAGTGTCTACTACTTACGTTATTCCATCAAAGTCAACCAACAGGCAAACCAATCATCTGTGATATGTGATGTGGACTTCACACTCCTTCCTCCCTTTCCTTTTGGCTTTTCGCCTGTACTACTTTCTTTTGTTTCCTTGTCTCCCCTTCTCTATACTTATATTCCTTATTGTTGCTGATTATACTCGGTATGTGGGAAATTATTTTCCTTTTTTTCTGTGCACGAGTGGTTTTAAGGGGTGAAACCATTTACTAATTACTTTTCTTCTATAGATGAAAGAGATAAGATGATGCCTCTGCCCTGGTAGCTGCAGCTCTAGTGTCTTTGGTGACCTTGAAACGATGTGCTCGAACGCCCCTCACCCATCAACGCAGAGCGTGACGCCTTTGGGGAAGGACTTGCTCCTAATTAATACCTGTACTGTGGATAATGTAGGTGTAGGATCTCATGATGATGAGAGAGAGGGAGAGGAGGAGACGTCGATCTCATGAATTCCATTCCATCCCATTCGTGTGTGAATTGCCACCTGAAAGCGTGACTGACACTTGAAAATAGGGATTTCATCATTTTGGAAGTTGACGCTTTTCACTTGGTACCATTGAACTGTAAGTTTGTGTTGGGTTGTCCGGGTCGTCTTTTTCTATCTCGTTTTGAGATCACTATTCTAGCTTAAAATAGGCAATTATGTCAAAAACGAAAATGACTGAAATCGATTTAAGTAGTACTTCAGTGTTTCATGTACTTCATTACCTCTACTGTACCATGGAAGGACTTGTCAAGAGAGTAGTAGCATGGATTGGACAGCGTACAATTACAGTTATTCTATGAAGGAAAGATTGCCTTGAAAAGATCTTTCCCAAGTCCTATTCTTTCGGCCTTACTTTACAATTTGACATAGCGTCAAGATGAAGTTATTGACTCGGAATGGAGGTAGATGCAAAATGTATTCTTTATTGACAGCAAATCGGAGAATGCAGGGGCTTTGTGGGCGAGATTTTTGTTGTCGTATTCATTCTGAGTAACCATCTGGAGGGATTTTATTAACGTGTTACGCCTGACAGTGACATTGGTGGTGCAATGGGTCAATTCGGTGAATCTCTGCTCATACGTCACTCCCTGATATGTGGCTGGAATCCTCAAAAACGACAAACATCTCATGCTTGCCTGTGAGTTTTTAGCTCTTAGCCTCCCCCTTACTTTCCATTCCAATATCTATCCTTAAAAACAATTGCTCACATGGGGAGGACTAGGAAGAGGATAAGCTGGGAAGTGGTATCGGACACAACTAAGGACATCGAAATTCCACCAAATCTTATTCAGTTTGTTTTTCATTGACCCGGACATGAACTTAAACAAAAATTGCGTTTCAAACATCCCACTCTTACCTTTTGGCCTTGATCGACACTCGAAAGAGTAGTTGTACAACATTCCTCATTATTTACTTCAAAATTAACCCACCTAAGGTACACATTATATCCCCACAGGTTTCACCTTGAGTGCGGTTTTGAGAGCCTCGTTGTAATCCTTTAGGAGGCTTTGCGCCTTCTTGGCGGTGGTGGTGAAATCACAGGCAGCACGTTTTGTAGCCACACTCTCTGCCACTGCTCGACGAGTCTGTTCGCTTGCCACCAATCGCTTTTCCAGCGCGCACAATTGAAGATGCGTCTCTTGACCATTCAGTTGCGCCTCCACAGCTGTACACTCATCTGTCAATTGAGTGGTGAAGATTGCAAGATTTTCACGCGTCTCTTGTAAACGTTTTTGCTCCTGCATTAACTGAAGGGGATGAATACGGTAAGGAGTCCTCTTGGACGCGCTGCTATTTCGAGCAATGTTAGTGTTCTTAAGTACACCGTCCTGATGACCTGACTTTTCAATCTACAGATGCACTTCCTTCCTACAAATACGACTCACTAAGAAGGATTTGGAACTCCACTCTAGCGCAGGTGTCAACCTTGACATTGATGATGCGAAAAGTTGGTCACCAATGACTGGATTGGAGACAACGCTGTGTTGAAGGTCATCTAGTGCCATAGCCACCTACCAGTTCCCAAACCTTGTAGTTCGGAAATGGAACAAGTGGGTGAGACTTGTCAATGTTTTTAGAACCTGCAGTTTTTAAATATGCTGCAGTTGTATGACTCTCCAACCCCTTCCATAGCCTTCCAGCTTTTCTAATGACAGCAATGGTATTCCACCTTAGCATGGTTACAAAAGCATCAGGAGGGACTCAAAGCCTCCAAGACTATTTAACGCCTTACAAAGAACTTACCGCAGCTTTTTTCTCCTCTGTGGCTTCGCCGACTGATGTGAGGTCATTGAACTTCTTCAGATCGGCCTCCATCGAGGCGATATTCTTCTTCAGAGTCTGCAACTCCTAGAACCAAAAGCGAAGGGTGTGTCAACTTGCTCGCTTTAATGCGACTACCGGTTGATAGGCGCCTATTTCACCTGAGTAATCTTTCCTTCCAACTGATCAATCTTCTGTAAATCTCTCTGTAGCCTTGTTCTTTCGGCATCCAAAGCCTCCGCAGTATTTGCCGATTTGGTCATCTCTCGTGTCTTGAACTTCAACTGCTCTATGACTGCTTCCACACCATTTTCATCACTACCACCACCTCTCATTTCCATTGTTTGCTCTGTACTTATCACGTACTGTGCACAGCGCTCCAGCGCGCGAACAATTTGATCTTCGGTGGAGGCCAGTCCCTCCATCTCCTCGGCTCGTGTTGTCTCATAGGAGGTGAAGAAGGCATCGATTTGAGCCTCGCGTCGTTGTAGCTCCCATATCTTCTGGGTGCGTTCATTAGAACTATCGTCATTCATTTGAGTGATAAGTTGGTGCAGAGTGGACTCATCCGAACAAATCTTTTCATTGAGTTCGCGGATCCTTTGAAGACAGGTGAGATGCTTGCACTTATCATTCGATAACTGAATCACGTAGTACTACAATTTTCATAATTGTCTTCATTCAATTATGAGATGAAAGTAATTGCAGTCGAAGCAACCGCCATATTCACTCCAAGTTACAAGTTATCAAAATCAGGTCGTACTGGGCGGACATGTGTGAAGTTCCTTCCCTCTCACTTTGTCGGTGCTACTAACATCCATGACAAGTAACGCCGATTAACATACTCTCTGTCCATATTTGCAGTCTCCCGATTGTCCTCCTTCACTTTGGCCAACAAGCGCTCCCTCTCAGCCTGAGGATCCTCCTTGTTGGCCTCTTCCGCCTGCAGTTGATCCCGCTTAGCCTCCACCTCCCTCAGGTGACCCAATATGCGCATCGCCTCTTGCTTAATCTACAAGACACTACTTAATTGTCTTAAGTAAAGTTAATTAATTCAAAGGAGTGAAGGACTGTAAAGAGGGTGTTGGAATCGAACCAACAATTGAATAATAACTTTATAAGTAAGTCGCCATTAAGACGTCATTTCGACCGACATTAGTCATATGAAACTTATTGTATGATTCCCTTCCCCACACAAAAAATACATATCTGAACACTATGCATCCTTGCTGAAATCACCTTAGACGTTGCAATATCAGCCTCCAATTCACTCCGTCGTGCGGACAGTTGAGCAATCTTCTTTTGTCCCATGGCCAGTTGTTGAAGGAGGTGGTCATTAAAATCACGTAGTTTCAGATACTCTGCCTTCTGTTCATCATTCATCTCCTCCACTACGGTCTCTGCTATTTTCTTTTCCTACAGAATGTGAGCAAGAAAGAAAGATAGAGGAAGGCTGCTATTGCTGTCACTGAAATGCTAATTATATTGCGACGTCGGGTTTCTTAACCATTATCTTTTTAACCAATAAAATTGACACATCGCCGAGTGTAAAATACTGTCAATGTGCCTTAATCAATTTCCGGATTTGCCATCAGGCTCCGGCTCACCTGCTCGATTTCCACTTCCAATGCCTTTAATTGAGTCTCTTTTTTCTTACGCTCCTCGAAAAATCTCTCCAGAGTCATTTCTGCTCTCTCATTAGCGGCCTTCACGTCTTCCCAATCCAACTCGATTGTAGAGATGTCGTGACCAACAGTTGCCTTATCCACAAGTGTGTTATAATCGCCCAACTCCCCCTCAAAACATGGAAGAAAGTCAGTGTCATGGACAAGAAGGTTGATGCATGAGGTGAACAAACGGGGATATCATAAGAGGTTCAATTAGTACTTCCATTGTGCGTGATAGAAATTGTCTACAAGTTCATAATTTATCAACTTTGTAGGTTTTAAAAATCTACCCCAATTCCGAGGTACTTTCAGCCTCAAGGACCGTATTCATATCAATTAGAAAAAGGAATCAAATCCCAATGCATGGAAGGTTATGCAAGAAATTGATAAGGTCCAGGTTCTTAAATATACACTTGATTTTAGAATAAAAATTTTCCTGTTAAAAATGGGAACCACAGCCCTGGTTATAGGCTACAGTCTTGGCTTAAAAGAAAAGTCCAACTCTTTTCAATATTACTTGAATTACATGCAGTACTTAAGTCTTAACCTCACCTGAAGTGACCTCAACTCTCCTGCCAACGCC